TTTTCGAAATTTTAAAAATATTGGCCTTGAACCAAATAGCAATAAATGTGAAATATTTTTTTACAATAATTTATCTACTTCTCATAGAGACACTTTAATTCAAAATTTTAATCATATTTGTCCAGGAATAAAAACTGTCAATACGGAATCACTATACCTGCTAGGTGCCCCGTTGTTTTTCGATAGTATTAAACCTGTTTTAAAAACAAAATTTGATCAGTTTTTAAACCACGTTGATAAATTGTATAAATTAAACCCCCACATAGCTCTTACTATTTTAAAATATTGTCTTCTTGTACCTAGATTTACATACTTACTCCGCTCGAGTCCAGTCTGGAAATGTTCGGATATTTTTCAAGATATTGATAATAGTCTTAAAATTGCTATAGAAAAAATTCTAAATTTAACTTTAAATACAACAGCCTGGACTCAAGCTAATTTACCTATAAAATTTGGTGGCATTGGTGTGAGAAATGTTTCTAGCTTTACATTGCCTGCTTTCCTTGCTTCCGTGCAAAGTGTCAGTGACTTATGTAACATAATTTTAAATAATAAAATAGACCTATGCTTTGCTACGGAGGCAGGGCAGACATGGCAAACGCTCTGTCCTGGTGTAAATATTCCACTGGAAGTTAACCAACAAAAACAGTGGGATATTCCGTTGGTACAGGGCGTGCAGAAGGATTTGTTTCATAATTTCCATAGTGACCAAAATAAGGCACGCCTTCTAGCTGTTTCGACTAAGGAATCTAGTCACTGGTTACACGCTTTACCATCAAGTAATCTCGGCACATTATATTTTGATAGGGAAAGCTTGCGTATTGCCGTAGGAATCCGACTAGGAGCGGCGATTTGTCAACTCCATCAGTGCCCCTGTGGTAGCAGCGTCGACAAGTTTGGGCTCCACGGACTTTCATGTAAGAAAAGCGCTGGCAGGTTTTCACGACACAGTTCTTTGAACGATGTCATCCGAATGGCTCTTGCCTCTATAAATGTTCCCTCGGTTTTAGAGCCTTGTGGAATATTTAGAGACGATGGCAAGAGACCCGACGGTATGACATTGGTCCCTTGGGAGAGAGGTAAAGCCCTAGTGTGGGATGCTACTTGCGTAGACACTCCTATCATTTCAGGGGTACCTCGTTTAAAGCCGGGGCGGCATCAGAGGCAGCTGAACTGAGTAAGTGGCGCAAATATGAGTCTCTGAGAGATGACTACATATTTGTGCCATTTGCTGTAGAGACTATCGGTCCGTGGGGTCCACGTGCGGTGAAGTTCCTAAAGGAACTCCATCCGCGGCTGGTCGTTGCTGCTGGTGATAAGAGGGCTGGTTCTTTCCTCGCTCAAAGGCTAAGTATAGCCATTCAGCGGGGAAACGCAGCCAGCGTTCTTGGCACGATACCGCGGGGAGTAGGACTATATGATAATTAAGTTTCTAGTTTTAGTTTTTTTTTTTATTATCATAGTTTTTAATATTGTAGATAAAATTAAGTATTATGTAAAATTGAAATTAATATACGTACCTAATTGGGCACTCAGTACTCACACAATTATAAACACTATTAAAAAAATATATACTTTTGGCCGAAAATCGTACTTTGGAGTTCTAAATATACAAATTTGTCGGTTGTAATGTGAAGATAAAAAATAACTTTAAATAAACAGTAGAAGCCGACTTCAAGCAACTACAAATAATAAAATAATTTCAAATCCAAAAGTCGGTGCTAAGATATACTGCATAAATGCTTTTAAGTTCGACTTCAGAATGTACAATAAAAAGTTACTTTTTATCCCCTTGAGTAGACATATCACAATCTCAATGTCTCTATAGTTAAAAACTCCTTTTTTTCATACTCACAGAATCCTGGCATAAACAGCAGCTTAATGCTGCAAAATAGGTTAGCAATTGATGAAGACATTGCGTACCAAACATACAAAAAAGAAAAAAAAAGAATATACAATCGAATTATCAACCTCCTCATTTTTTGAATTTGGCTATAAAATTAGTTACGCTGATAATTTCGTGAAATACAAATTATTTAAATTAAAGGTTATTATATTTTCAGGATTTGTTTTTGTTTGATTATACCAAATTCTTAATAAAATATCTTTCTATTATATCACAATGACATGTATTAGCTTGATAGATATTTGTTTATTTTTAATTTTAATATCATCTTAAAAACAATCGTGGTAGTAAATATTTTTTGGATATTTAATAACGGTTTATAAAATTTAAGCATGGATGGTTTTACATCAGTAGTATTCCTCGTCATTATCATAGGTTTAGTGATGTCAATTGAATTAATCCAAAACAAAACGTTGACTTTTGTTTAGACGTCCATGGAAATTATTTAACTTTAAAATTTGTTCCCGTTTTGCAGTTATTTTCATTGTTAGTCCTTTTAATTTTATATCAACTTAACAAATAATACAATTCATATTGAACAAATTCATGAGTATTTATTGTATTACGGTATTTACATCACACAGATAGTGGAAATAAAATTATGCACGAATAAATTAGTTTCAAAATTTACGTAAAACCACACAATATGTAGGTACTGGTTGCAAATAAGGCGCATGAAAATTATTAATTATTTGCTCAATATCAAATAGCAGGAATTAATTTTATTTATTCTTAAGTTTTTATTTTTTGTTCAAATCATGTTTCAATTTAGATTAAGGCCGTCTTTTTAAATGTCGGTACGATGCCAGCGAACGTTCGCTTTGTCGAGGTCTCACGTGTAACGTAAAACTTTAACATTAATTAGCGCGGCATTCTATTTGATATTTAACTACGTGACCACACAACATACAAAAATAAAGGCTAATTTTTTTATTGCTAAATCTTTTTAAAGAACTCTCAACTAGAAATACTACAAAGTATTACGCGTGTAAACCAATTTTCAAAACACTTGTTTTCAGTACGCCTTAGACACATTTTCCACAGGCTGCTCGAAATTTACTACTAATTTGTTGTTTTAAGGAATAAAACAAAAAATTAGGGAGTAAGACAAATCAGAGCCGTAAGGAGGGTGACTAAAAAGTACAACTGGTGTGGTGCAGGAAGTACCTTTTTTAGAGCGATGAGAGCAGTAGTCAGCGGAGCTCCGTCCACAGTTGTGGCTAGTATTTGGTAATTTATCATTTGGCATCAACTTTGTAAGGGAATTGACATCACATAGGTGATTGACAAGCTTGCCAAACTAAAAAAAATACTAGCGATCAAAACCTTCCGAGCGCTTCTTGATCGCTTTACTTTAGTAGGCGTTGGTTTATTTTGACAACAGCCAAACTATCGACTTGCGCTTCGTTTCTGGGTGGTATTGATAAATCCAAGATTCAATACCTTTAATAATGTTGTAAACGCGAGACTTTTCACAGCACTATTCTACACGGGTCTGGTCTTGAGAATCGGTGAGGTTTTGCATCGCGGAGGTGTTCATGTTCAATCTCGTGAATCGGATCGGAAAGCAGATCCTATCCGCAATGCGTACAAAATCTCTTCATACCTTATTCGCCTTTTCCCAATAAATAAATTGTCACTGCTAGCAAGTTTCCTTCCACAACAGCCGTCGAAAGGCAACCCCTTCTTTCTTCATCCAAAGTTAGGTGACTCTAAAAATTTGTTATACCAGCGGTATACGGATGGGAAAGGCTTTACTCATAAAAAACTGATACAAATGGCATTCATTTGAAATCTGTCAAAAGATTGGCGCGGTTTTAGGCGACATTGAAAATGCAAAAAATCGTCACACGAAAATGTTTCCAACGCAGATCCATTTTCCAATGAAACAAGATATTTCAATTTATCACGTAAAAATGTGGAGGGAAAGCATAAATAAGAACATACGTATTTTACTTTTAAATAATCGTATTTTTAAATTCTAAATAAATTAAAATTAGCCCGGCGATTATAAAAATAACCTTTTTTGGATCAAAACTTTAAGTGACCTTACGTATCCAAGCGCTATCGTGTAAATCAATAAATAAACAGTTTAAAAAAGACAAAAGGCATAGGCACTGACTATGACAGAGTCACTATAGCCCGTAAACCAATTTGCTAAAGACTAAGATGCACTGCCAGAATTTCAAACACTGTTGAGAGCTCAAAGGAGAAGGAGACATCTCCATATATTCTTGGGCCCAGATGTTAACAAGATGAAAGTCAGATCATTTGAAAGCTTATATATAAACAATTCATAGCTAAAAATCTGGCAAGATTTGTCAATCTAGGAGCTGAGTTATTGTAGAATAAATAAAAGTGATTTTATGAATTACCTACACTGTAACAGGCGATTTTTCACTGTAATAACACTGTAACAGGTTGTTTTTCACTATGATTACTTAAAGATATAAAACAGGATCAGTATGAAATCACCAAAGATAAGCTGTGAAACAACAACAAACAACAATCTAGGAAACAAAATAGTGAAACGATTAACGAAAATTAAAACAACAACAACTAATTGAAATGACTATTAGACATATCGATCTGAGATCGATTACTTGAATTACTGTTGTTACTGTTATTTGTAGGTGTACAATGACCAAACCAGATATCGAATTGACTAATACGGGTTATAATAAAACTACCGAGTGCTTGATACAAGTTCTTTATTACGATATCATGCATCTTAGCTATACTATTTGCAAAGGGCAAATGATATCGAGATTTAGGAATGCAACAATTTTTTAGCAGTACCATCTAATGTCAAAACATTGTATTAATAAAACTCTTATATGTCATTTATATGTAACTGTAGTAATATAATTTGTAAAAGTAAATTGTTTAACAATGCCATCTAGTATCAAAAATATTATAACATATTAAAGCGTTGAACATTCCGCCCAACAAGAACGTTATTAAACGTTCTTTCCATTCCGCCCACCATGACATAACTGGGCAGTAGGCTACATTTATATGTATCTTAGGCATCAAACAAACATACTTAATCTAATTTAAGCACTAGCTATTGCAACCGTGAGATAAATTATGATTATTGTGTAATAGGCAAAATACATAACTTTGAAGTTGGTCTTTTTAAAAGAGATTGACCACACTTCAAAGTCACAACGCGAGTAATTTGGTCTAAGCCAGGATGCTTCGCAACCACTCTTCCTAACAGCCAACGGCCTGGAGGAAGATTGTCCTCCTTAATTAAAACTATGTTTCCAATTTCAGGTTCGGGTATTATCTTTGACCATTTATATCTCTGTAAACAATTCACCAAATACTCTTTGGACCACCTTCGCCAAAAATCCTGCACCATTCTTTGAGTCATTTGCCAGCGTCTCAGAGTACTGATGTTACTATGTTCATAGTTTTGTTCTGGTACAATTACTAGAGCTTCGCCAACGAGGAAATGTCCTGGAGTTAGAGTCGCGGGATCACTGTGATTATCTGGTAATATCGATAAAGGCCTTGAGTTTAGACACGCTTCTATTTGCGTGAGAACGGTGGTTAACTCTTCATATGTCATTATAGAAACGCCAATCACTCGTTTTAAATGAAATTTCATAGCCTTCACGCCTGCTTCCCATAGCCCGCCAAAGTTTGGCGCATGGGCAGGAATGAAATGCCATGTAACACTATTGTTGCTTAACCACTCACAAATTTCAAGAGCGACTGATGACTGTTCAGCGGTGACGAGCTTAAGGAGTTCCTTGGATGCTCCAACAAAGTTTGTTCCGTTGTCGCTCCATATTTCGCTCACATGTCCTCTACGAGCTACAAAACGCTTAAAGCCTGCTATGAAGGCATCACTAGTGAGATCGCTTATTAGTTCTAAATGTATGGACTTTGTTGCCATACATACAAAAAGACTAATATAACCCTTGTATGATTTATTACCTCTTCCCTTAGACATTCGGACGTTAATTGGGCCAGCAAAATCCACACCACTGTGAAGGAATGGTCTAGCTGGTGTTACTCTGCTAAATGGTAATTGACCCATAAACTGATTTTTGTCACTGCCGCTTGGCGAACACACACTACACAATTACGCACATGCATTTTAACTAGGCTCTTAGCCGATATAATCCAATATTTTGTGCGCAAATGGTTTAGCATGAGTGTTGGACCTCCGTGTAATGTCTTTCGGTGGGCCTCATCAATAACTAAATTGGTAAAGTGGCTCTTATGGGGAAGAATAATAGGATGCTTAGTATCTGTAGGAAGATTAGCATTCTGAATTCTACCTCCCACTCTCATTATTCCCTTATCATCAAGAAAAGGGCTTAACGGTTTAAATTTTTGCTTGGCATCTCTTAAATCTGCGAGTTGACATTGTTTTATACAAACGTCTAAAGATTCCTGCAGCTCGGTGCTTGTAAGGTAAGGTTTAAACCTACTATTTCTTTTGTACCTTAGAAATCTGCGACAAAAGGCAACAACTCGTATAAGCCTTTGTAATGACGAGAATTTTTTCCATAGATCGAAATCAGTAGCAAATTGACTATTAGTTACAGCGTGGACCTTTAATTTTCTTTGTTCCAAAGTAGTCGAGATGGACTTTGGCCTTTCATAAATAATATTGCCATCTTTTAACCATGATGGACCCTGCAGCCACAAGCTATTTTCAGCAAGTTCCAAAGGAGTGCAGCCTCTGGAAGCGAGATCTGCTGGATTTTGGGCCGATCGAACGTGTGCCCATTGCGTATTGTCCAGCTTTGACAGAACATCTGACGTTCTGTTGCCTATAAACGTTGTCCACCGACTAGGATGACTGCTGAGCCACGCCAATACCACAGTGGAGTCGGTCCAGCCGTGTATATTGTTATGATCGATTCCCAGAATATTAGCCACATCTGTGATTAACTTAGCTAAAAGAACTGCTCCCATAAGTTCAAGGCGAGGAATGGAGATTTGCATAGTTGGAGCAACCTTAGTCTTTGCCGTAACTAGATTGACGTGTATCTTACCTTTAGCATCAATCGCTCTTAAATAAACGACCGCAGCGTATGCAGAGTTGGATGCGTCGCAAAAACCTTGAAGCTCCATGCAATTATCATCTACTTTAGTCTTGAGCCACCTTGGAATACTAAGCTCGCGAATATTTATTAGCTCAGATGTGTAAAAATTCCACTCCTTTAGTAAATCATCTGGCAGTTCGTCATCCCAGTCTATTCCTGCCAGCCATAATTTCTGGATCATTACTTTAGCTGTGATGATGCAAGGCGCTAGCCATCCCAAGGGGTCGAACAGACGTGAGATGCTCGATACTACCTTCCTCTTGGTAATAGGATTATTCAATTCAGGAATTTGTACACTGTATTGAAAATTATCCGTTTCTTTATCACAGAAAAGACCCAATACCTTAACTACCTTATCGATCTTAATATCAACCTTTCCTACCTCCTTTCCGTGTCCATCCATTATTTCTTCTCCTAAATCTTTGTTGTTTGTTACCCATTTCTGCAATTCAAAACCTCCCTTTTTCAGTAACCTTTTCATATCTTCATAAACCTAAATAACCTTTTCCTTCTTCCACTGTCTGACATCCAGTCAACAGATCATCCACGTAGAAATCCGTTTTTACCTTTTCAGCTACATTGGGAAATTCCTTACCTTCATCAATTGCGACCTGATGTAGGGTCTTTACTGCTAGGTAGGGAGCCGATGATGTGCCAAATGTAACCCTTACTAATTTGAATTCTTTAATTTCAGACTCAGGCTCATCTCTCCAAACTAGCCTTTGGAAGTCTGTGTCTTGATCTGCAACGATAATTTGGCGATACATTTTCATAATATCTGCACTAAGACATATTGGATGCATACGCCATCGGATAATAATATGACGTAAGTCTTGCTGAAGCGTGGGGCCAATCATCAATGTATCGTTTAGAGATACTCCGTTTGTTCCCTTGCAAGAGGCGTCAAACACTACTCTAACCTTCGTAGTAGTTTTATCCTCTCTTATAACGGCGTGATGGGGTAAATACACTGATTCCGATTTATTAAGGTCACTGCCAGTTATAAGTTGCATGTGGCTTAGGTTCAAATATTCATGTATGACTTCGGAATATCTTGCCTTGAATTCTGAGTTCTTTTTGAAACGGTTTTCAAGAAGATGAAATCGCTTTATTGCAATGTCTCTGGAATTCCCATACTTACATTGAGGGTTGTCTTCACGGAAGGGAAGTCTCACTATGTATCGACCTGTTGGATCCCGTTGAGTGGTATTACTGTAATATTCTTCACATCGCTGTTCTTCCTGATTAAGAATCTTGCTTTCACTGAAATCGGACTCAATTTGCCAAAATCTCTTTAGTAATTCATTGTCATCAGTTTGAGAGTGCATGCTAATAATATTATGGTGACAAGGAGATAAAGGTGTTTGATTATGATCAGGTAACTGTGTGGGGCCAGATAGTATCCATCCTAAGGCAGTACACTACGCAGTTGGAATGCCGTTAGGACCCTTGACCAACCCTTCACTTATAACCTGACTGTAAACGTCTGCACCAAGTAAAACGTCTATTTTACTTGGACTGTAAAATTGCGGGTCGGCAAGAGTGATATTAGCCAATTCTGGCCAATCTACATTAGCTAGCTTCTCCGATGGAAGTAGACTAGTTATCGAACCTAAAACATGCGCACGCACTTGTATTTGGAAGCAGGGATCGATACGGGACTGAATGTTTATCATTACGATATACTTAGAAGATAGAGAGCTCTTATCGCAGCCTACTCCTGATATATTGCTTCTACTGGGTATCTTCCTAAGGCCAAGTAGTTGTACCGTTGACTCTGTAACAAACGACGCTTGCGAACCCTGATCAAGTAGAGCTCTGATCAAGTGGGCATAACCGTTTCTTGCCTCTGCTACAACAAGTGCAGTTGCTAGAAGAATTTGATTAGGTACTATCTTCTTAGAAAAATGCGCTGTAATGTTCGTATTCGATTCCGGCTTTTCTTGAGCTGTCTTTATCTTTGACAGTACAGATTTAACTTCGACTGACAAATCTGGCTTGGACAAAACAGCTTTTTGTGTTTCTGTTATTGGTTTTGGGTGGAGCAATGAGTGGTGCTTATGCTTACAAATGCGACATCTCGTAAATAAACAGCACGTGTTAGCAGAGTGATTACGACCTAAGCAATTAAAGCAAAGACCATTATCTTGGACGAAATTATGTCGAGTGTTATAATCAACCGCGGCAAATTCTTTACAGTTTGATATTTTATGCTCATTATTGCAATAAGGACAGTTAAATTTGGCTACAGCGTTAGAGCTGGTTGCCATGGAGTGACCTTAGGTTTTTGGTTTGAAACATTTGGTTTGCTTCTTTGTTTGGGATCCATGAACTCAAGTGACCGAAATCGGGTTTCTAGAAATTCTCTTAATTGGTTCAACGTTGGCAGTTCATCTGAAGTGCTTATTTTTGATTCCCAACATTTTCGGGACTCTGAATCCAATTTTGAACCAATTATGTATATAACAATTGTATCCCATGAATCTACATTTATTCCCAAATATTTCAAACCATGTAACGTGTCATTGGTAACGTCTAACATGTTTTTAATTGCATTACATGACTCGCTGCCGATGCTTTGTTGATTCATAAAACGCTTCAATAGACAATTCGCAATGTATTTTTTATTATTATAACGACTGTTAAGTGTTAACCACGATTCTTGGTAATTAGCCGATGTTATAGGTACATGCCTTAAAAGCTGTTCGGCTTCTCCTGAAAGATGCCCTTTCAAATAGTGCATCTTTTGTACATCATCTATTGAAGAGTTATTATGGATCAACGACACATATAAATCTCTAAACGTTGTCCATTCTACATATGACCCCGAAAAAGTGGGAATGTTTATCTTAGGTAATTTAACATTGCTTTCAACTTTAAATGAGAACAAGAACTTGAGACACTAGCTTGAGTCTTTAGAACAAATAATGCTTCTCTGATATCAGACTTATAATCAATATACATTTCCTCTACACTTTCATAAACACTTTCTTTGTAGTAATTAGATTCTACTAATTGCTCTGACAACTCTATAGACATTTTTTTATGCGTTTCTGCGAATATCTGCCATTTTTCTTCTAATGAATCTAACCTAGTGAGTAAATACGACTCTTTACATAGGCGTTCCTTTGGTGATTTTTTATAGTTTTCATAAGCATTTTCTATCATAGACTTATATCCTAGCTGACTCTTTATTAGGGCTGACAACGTCATTTTGGTAGAATATCCAAAGTAACGTTTTTTGTTCACAAAATTTTACAAGTGTTTAGGAAAATAAAGGAAGTTACATAAAATTGAGCATAGGTTCCCCGTTTGATCTTTTTTGAATAGTTATTCTAAGTTACTAACTAACATGAACAAATTATTAAAGTTTACATTTATCATTAATTATTCTAAGTCTTCAACAAAATTCTTGATATTTTAAAAGTTATTGAAATCCTTCAAATTATCAACTTTTTAAACTTCACTGATAAATTAGAAAAATGTACTCACGATTTTCACTTGCAAACCTGTCAACTCGGAAAATGACGTCGTTCACGTCACTGTTATGATGGCTCCACTGCAGATTGTTCCTTCCGCACGCGTAGCTTTACACGTCACGGATGTGACGTCACGTTTATGACGTCGCTGCTGCTCTGCGTCCAACTTCTTTCTTTGTACTCCTCGACTGAATGCGGCCGGCACACTCCAAACGCACAACACTCCGGCTCGAAGGACCATGTACAATGACCAAACCAGATATCGAATTGACTACTACGGGTTATAATAAAACTACCGAGTGCTTGATACAAGTTCTTTATTACGATATCATGCATCTTAGCTATACTATTTGCAAAGGGCAAATGATATCGAGATTTAGGAATGCAACAATTTTTTAGCAGTACCATCTAATGTCAAAACATTGTATTAATAAAACTCTTATATGTCATTTATATGTAACTGTAGTAATATAATTTGTAAAAGTAAATTGTTTAACAATGCC